ATCACAGCACACACTGGCCCAGCTAACCGATCACAGCACACACTGGCCCAGCTAACCGATCACAGCACACACTGGCCCAACTAACCAATCACAGCACACACTGGCCCAACTAACCGATCACAGCACACACTGGCCCAACTAACCAATCACAGCACACACTGGCCCAGCTAACCAATCACAGCACACACTGGTCCAGCTAACCAATCACAGCACACTTCGTATTTCAGAAGGTGGGCCTTCATTTGATACAGGAACTATTCGAGCCGTTCATGCCAGACTGGGGAGAGAGGTGTTGTAATAATGTAAAATATGTGAAAAATATTGTGTTTTTCTAACAACCTAGTATGAGAGCCTGTTCTAGTACACCCCCAAAACAAAATCAAGACTTTGTAAAAGAGCATAATAGGACCTCTTTAATAAAGGACCAGATCATTGTCCCACTGGGACACCACTGGGTCTTATCCCATGTTAAATGACAGGTGATTTGCCAAAAAATTAATAAATAAAATTCCTACATTTTTAAATAAATAAAATTGCTTTGACAAGATTTGGGAAGTAACAGTAAAAGTTTTTTTTTGTACCTATAATGGAAGTCCATTGGACAAGACATTGCAAGGCTTTTGAAAAGGCTTCATTTACTTGATTAAAAAAAACAAACAGGAAAAAACAGCAATATTGTGAAATATTATTAACATTTTAAATAACTGTTTTCTGTTTTAATATCTGTTAAAATGTAATTTATTTCTGTGATCAAAGCTGTATTTCCAGCATCAATACTCCAGTCTTCAGTGTCACATGATCTTCAGAAATCATTCTAATATTCTGATTTGCTGCTTAAGAAACATCTCTGATTATGATCAATGTTTAAAACAGTTGTGCTGCTTCATATTCTTGTGGAAACTATACGATACATTTTTTTGAGGCTTCTTTGATGACTATAGAATCTTAAAGTTTTAAAGGGACTTTGGGAAAGTTCAAAAGAACAGCATTTATTTGAAATTGAATTTTTTTTAAAAACCGTGTAATGCAAAAGTCATTACTGTCACTTGATTAATTTAATGCATTCTTTCTGAATAAAATTGTTAATTTCTTTTTTAAAAAACTGACCCCAGACTTTTAAACGGTAGTGTACACTTTCTTAAAATAAACAACATTTTTACTACTTAAACTCTGAATCATCTGTCCTTCGGATGAGACGTTAAACCGAGGTCCTGACTCTCTGTGGTCATTAAAAATCCCAGTATGTCTTTCGAAAAGAGTAGAGGTGTGACCTCGGCATCCTGGCCCAATGTGCCCATTGGTCTCTGACCATCATGACCTCCTAACCATCCCCATATCTACTGATTGGCTTCATCACTCTGTCTCCTCTCCACCAATAAGCTGGTGTGTGGTGGGCGTTCTGGCGCACTACGGCTGCCGTCGCATCCTCCAGGTGGATGCTGCACACTGCTGGTGGATGAGGAGATACCCCCTGACAATGTAAAGCGCTTTGGGTGCCTAGAAAAGCGCTATATAAATGTAATGAATTAAT